GGTTCAAACACGACGGCTATTTGTAAAGCTAAATTTGAAAGAGCAGAATAGCTTTTTTCTCATTAGAAGGATTTTTCTCTCACAAAAAAGAAAATTCTTGTGAAGCAGAAAACACTTGGAGGACCCCAGCTTTGATCAGTGGCAGTTTATGACGTGAGGCAGTAGCTAGAAACTACAGCCATTGCAGAACTACAGAGGGTGTTCGTTATCAAGCCTAGTGGGAATTCAGATCCATACCAACTGGGTTTCTGAGTTTTGTCTCTTATTTCTATATTAAGAAATGCATTACCTTTGAAATAAATCAATCCTAGGAGTAGAATTTTATAAGTAGATACTTAGGTGAATGTTTCTGCTTTTAGGCATGTGTTGTAGGAGTGGGAACAATTTGAAGTGGGAGCAAGGGAAGGTTCGAGTGCCCTTGCTTGTTCCAGACCGTGTTAGCAGTCTGCACAACACGGCTGCAGTTACCGTCCTCAGTCTCCAGCACGGCTGCAGAGGAAGGGGAATTTCCCATCGACCAGGCGTTCGGCCGCCATCCTTTACCGCCGACCTTCTCCTGTCGCTTGAGGAACTGAAATAAGGAGATAAGCTTCAAATGTCACGCAATGGAAGTTGTTAGCAGATGAGCAAGTCTTCTGGCAAACCTTGTTAACACTATTAATTCAAATTGGAAATGTGACCGACCTGTGTCCTGTGTCCTTTACACTCAGGAGGAGTGTAAAGTTTGACTGCTCATGTCGATTAATCCAAAGAAATGCCAGTAAGAAAGAGCAAAGCATTACCAGAAGGAGGATATAAAATCTCTCTTCTTGAAAATGTATGAAATAATTAAATGAAAAAAATTATCATGACATTTTTTTATTTCAAAATGTAGTGGGATTACTAATAGCTGATAAATTACATGAGAGCATGGTCTTGAAGATATTATAACATCAAATGTTAACAGTTTGATCTCTGAAGTTGCTGCCAATGTATCGATTATATATTTTATATTTCATTATTACATCAATTATATTCTAACATTTCCCTTCTTTTTTTTTTCCTCCCATGGTTTTCCATGTCACTGTGCTATTGTACATTCCTCCTTTCCCACCTACTGTTTTGCTCTGCACCCATTCAGCTTTTTTCCCATGTTCTTCCATATGTATAGTACCTCAGTGCCTGTTCTATCCACTGTGAAAAGAGAGGTCTTGTTTTCTGTCTGGACCTAGACAAACTAATTCTTCATACCTTTACTCTTGTAAGATGAATAACCAGACATACCAGTGTCCCAAACTGAAAACGTAATATTTATAGGCTAGTAAAAATGTTGAGTGATGGAACATTGAAGTTTCACACTCTGTTTATCTCAGTTTTATGAAGAGTTTTGAAGTTTCTTTGTTCTTTCATTCAGCAGTTATTTGACTGCTTTCATAGTGACGTATTATTAGATCACATTAGATTACTGGTTTATATTATACAGAATAAATAATTTGAAAGCATTACTAATAAATGATTATTGTTAAGAGTCGGTTAAGCAATTATAAATTTTCTTTTACATCACATACCAGTTAGTATGAAATATTTGAATCTTTATTGTGCCCTAAGATTTAACTCATACAAGTAACATTAACTCTTGACTAAATGTAACTAGTTAACAATTACATAGTATTCTGTGTTTTCCTTTCCTGACTATTTACTGTTGCTGTGTGCTCACACTGTCATTCTTCACTTCTAATCTCATTTAAGATGACAACCATAGTCTCAGGAAGATCATATGGATTTTAAGAATAAATTTTAATAGCTCTTTAATGAAAGCATAAAAAACCTTGCTTCTCTTTCACTGCTCTGAAGAAGAATTTTTTTTTTTTTTTTTTTTTCAAAACTCTTAGCTTTCTTTTCCAGTCAATGAACATATGTGTGCATGAGGAATTTTCTGAGTTAAAGGCATGGAAAATGCTGACAGCTTGGCAGCAGCTTTGAGTTTTTCAGTAAAATGATAACTACTTTTGTTCTGTTCCAGGAAGCAGCTTCTAAAACACTGCTCCGAAGCTTGCATTTAAGGATGCTAGGAGCTTTATCTTTCCCTCTGTTTGGTATAATGTACATAAAAAATGTGATAATGGAATTACCAGCTCACAGGACATCTTTTTCTAGTCTTGGATTTGAACTAAGTAGCTTTTCATCAACATCAAGTGTTATTTTTTAAACTTGGAGATGAAGCTGCTTTTGGAATTTGTAAAACCTTTGCAACTTTAATCATGGAATACTATCCTGTGCAAATAGAGGGGAAAGCAAAACTAAGTAAAATATTAATAGGCAAATCTACAGCTGACACATATTTTTAATTAGATTATATTATAAGCAGGTAGTTAGAAACAATGGAGCAGTACTGTCTTTAACCTGGAACAGCATGAATGGTCAATCTGAATACTTAAAGCACTTATTTACTGGTACAAAATGTGTTTCTTTCCAGACTTGTCACCATATTTTATTAATGAATCATTGTAAAGCATTTTCAGAATTGCTGTTATTTTTCATTTGCAATACTAATTAAGGGCATCAGAACAAAATTATTTCCTTCAGTTTTCTGGTCAATCTTCTTTATTGTATCAGCCATTATATTAAAAATATTATTTCCCATTAAAATATAGTGCTTTGCAGACCAGGTTTACTCAGTTCACCTTGGTTGAAGATGGCACTGAAAATTAAGCTTGGTTTGGGTTCTTTGTGAGTCACATACAAAAAGTCATATACAAGTCATGCAAGTTACAAAGAAAAACTTGGATAAAAGAGCTTTCTGGCAAAACATTTCAATAAGTGTTTTATCTACCATCAGAATACTTATTGAAGTTACTTTGCAAATCTAAAGAGAGGCGTTCATCTTTCCAAAGTTAAATTTGACATCCTGTCTCTATACTCAGTGGAGGACCTAGTTGATGAAGATGATTATCACCTCACATTGGGCATCTGCTTTCACTCACCTGGATTGAACGTATTTATTTTTCTTTACTGAGTACAGGATAAAACCTGCCTTGACCAGTGGCTCAGCTTTAGATGGATTAACTGTGGTTAAATGAGTCCTATCATTTTTCTTCTAAACTTCTGGGTAAAAAAAAGAGATCAGATCCTAAGCCAAAATTCCAGTGTATGAAATATTTGATGCTTCTGACAATTCTGGAAAAGCTGTTTCACTGTATTGTTTATGTGAGGTTTGCAACCACAGACCAGGGGATTATTGATGGTTTACTAATGAAATATATAACTCATATGTAATTCTGATTTGTATTTTTGTAGCTCATTAATTGCTTTCATGTTTGTAATTGTTATCTATCATGCTGTGAAGAATATGTAAACCTTTACACCTACAATACATGAGAGTCGTATTTCTTTATTGCAAGACTGAGAAGTGTCTTTAATAGCCTAGGTTAAATACAATGAAATGCCTTCATTACACATAACACATCACTTGAAAGGATCTAGTTTGCGGTATGTTTCTAAAGTTCAATTCAGTTCAGTAACAATTCAGACCAGTAATACTTAAAATCTACTCTCAACGGAGTTAGGAAAGAACCAAGAAAAAATACCAGATGAAACTTTCTGATAAATTACATTGTGTTGGAAAATTGCAGTTGCTTGATTTTTTTCTGTTCCCTTTGCTTACTTTCACACAGTTTTGTCTACTTAGTAATCTGCTATGTTAGCAAAGTATTTCTGAAACTTGCATTTCTTTCTCTTAAGTAGTAATGCCAAACTCCAGTGTAAAATATTTCTACTTTCCTGTCAGACAGCACAGGTAAACTCACAAAAGACCCCAATCAGGTGTTTTCGGGGCTGGCTTGACTATGCCTTCACTGGAATGAAAACCAGAAAGAATATTTTATTGACTCTTATATGGGTACTTGTGTGTGTGTGTATTGTGCTAAGAGAGACAAGTAGCTCTGTAGATGTTTTATCCTCTCTGTCACTCGTGTGTTTCTGATGAGAGATTTATTAAAATCTGACTGACACTGGCAATCTATGCTGATTGTGCTGAAATATATGAACATATATATATATAAAACATATATATTTCGGACTTATGCTATGCAAGGTATAATGAAATGAGTGTAAAATCTAGACCACATGTAGAGGGCATTAATAATCTATATATTCCATATATTTGTATCTGGAGATATGGTATATCTGCTACTAAGATTTTTTACTGCTAACCAAATTGACTAATTCTAAATGATCTTTGGGAATAAAGTCAACAAGACAGACTGGGAAAAGAAAAAAAAAATTATTATTGTAAATGTTCATATCTAAGACAGATACTAGCCTACAGTTTCTACAGAACGAATTCTAGGATGAGCATAAGAGACAAAAAATGGGCTGCTTTAAATAATTCTGTCTGTAATGACACCCTTTAAATCAATGGTTACGATTTTTCAACCATAGCTCTGAGGCCAACTGCTGCTGTGTTTGTATTAGTTTTTTAATTTGGATCAGGACTGTGTTTTGAAATTAATTTCTGGATCATGTGCACTTATGCTTTGGTTCACATTGCTCGGTGGTCTTGGAGTACACAATCAGTATTCCTTTTGGATGAAACTAAATTGGAAAATGTGCTACAGGAGTGCAGTTTATATACTTCAGCATGTAGTGCTCGATCCATGTTTGGGACTAATGTAGGACTAGCTGAGGTTAAGACCTCTGAAATGCATGTGTTGTGCACTATTAAACTCTACAGTTCTGTTCTTACTGCACTGCAGTATTTATTAGTACGGTATGAATTGAACAAATTAATTTTTGTCTGAGACAGAACTTCTAATTTTCTTCTAGACTGTCTTTTTCCTCTGCAGCATAGCTTTCTTGGGATTTTCACATTCGGGAACTCACAAGTTTATTAAAACAAGAAAAACTGATGTAGGATGGAAGCACAGAAACAACTTACTGAAGTGTGAATATAGAAGTTACAGCAGAAAACATTAAATCTAACAAAACTAGATTTTTTTTTTTTTTTTTTTTTTTTTTTCCAGGAAAGAACAGTAACAATTAGAAGACAGACTGTAGGAGGATTTGGATTAAGTATAAAGGTAGGATTATTTTTTTAGTCTGTCATTCCACGTTACAAAGAAGGTGTCTTTGTGTATATTTAATACTGCTTTTAATGAGGACAAACTATATTTTAGAGGACTAGAAACAAGAAAGCAATCATATTCTAGGATGTTAGCTGCTGTCACAGTAGGAAACCAGCAACTACACTGCCCTGTGGAAAGGAAGACAATGGAAAGATCATTCCCTTAAGATTCAAGCTGAGCAACTGTGTAATAAGATTTGATATGTGTGTTGAAAAGTGTTTGCAACTGCACAGACCGTACTTCTGTTCAACGGTGCTCTAATTTAGGTAGTTATTAATGAATGCTAAATTACAGTGGCAGGCACATGGAACATCCAATAAGTTCATTGTCAGTTCTCCTACAAAGAATATCCTATTAATTCACTGCAATTTCTTAGTAGGACAGAATGTGTTATTGCTTTCCCATGTTGTTTATTTTTCTGTAGATGAAACAAAGACAGCAATTTATCATGTTACCCCCTTTTTGCTTTCTTCAGTAAGATTTAAGAGCATATGTAAGTGTAGGTGATCCTTTTTGACAGAGGGAGCGGTAAGGAGAGGGAGGAAGGGTTAATAATTTTTGTCATCATAATCTATGATTTTGAAAACCTTACCTTAGCTTTGAATCTCAGTGTAGACAACACAATATTAATTTTATCTTCTAAACACAGCAGGCGTCAGTCTCAAGATAGTAATGGAAAAAGTGGAGTGTGCTTCACATGAATGCAAAGAGGCTAAAATTATGCATACAAAGTGAAAGTATAGACTTTCGTGTGAACATCTGCTGGTACTGACCTTATAAGAAGTGACTCAGAAGAGAGATTAATATGCATTTGTGCTGTCATTGATAAGAATATTGCTGACTAGAAATATTAGTTCTTGAAATATGTCTTGGTACACTTGCTGTTATCTTGCCGACCCACTAGAGACCTCTATTCGAGGAAAACGAATTGCTCTTTTGTGGCCAAAGTTTCTCATGAATTTAGTCAACAGCACACAAGTTATTTTCCTCAAATATCATTATAGGTTACAGTTCACTGAATAGCAATGAAATAATGAGTGTCAGTGTAAAATCTAGTATATGGATGAATGAGGGTTTATTTAGCTGGTGATAAGAAATAACTGGTTACAGTAAGGACTTTTGAGGTTTGGAGAGCAAATCTCATCAACAGTTACTAAAATTGCTTTTTCAGTTATAAGTTACAATGGTTTATCATTTAGAATTAAAATTGCTGACAAGCTCAAGATCACATAATTTACGTATCAGGTATATTGTATAAAACAAAATATCATTGAGAAATATAAATTAAATAGAGAATGTGCAAATGGTCTTTCTTAAATTAGTAGAGCAAGATATTCTTAAATTTTTAGAGCAAGATATCCATTGTTCTGAGGAAAATTCTTGGAAATTGCAAAAGTGTTTAGAAGTGATTGTGCATTCAGCCTAGAAGGGAATTTATCTTTTTCTTTTTAATAAGATCCTGTTTCAATGGCAAAAAAATCTATATCAAGTATATTAGAAGCGACTGAAATAAACTTTACAAATAAAGGCTTTCAATTAAATTATTTTATTTAAACATATTTTTAAAAATTAGTTTATTGCATACATATTTTGATTAAAATTAATCTAATTAGTGTAAAGGTAAAGCTACATATATTCAGGTGTGAATAGATGATTTCTTTTTAATTTTTGTAATAACTATCAATCAAGTGATGCAATCCCTTCAGCAGATATCATTAAATAGAAAGGAGATCTCTTTCAACAAAAGAAACCCAAACTTGCTTGGATTGTGTATATTAGATAATGAAAATGGTGAGTAGATCTTATGATCTGGGATATTCTGTCGATGCATATCAAGCAGTATGATTTATTTATTTTTAAATTATTCATTTTAAAAAAACAGTGAACATGGGACCTCTTTTGCTAGATCCCCTTATTAGTAATCCTACGTTGTCAAAGACTCACAAGCAATTGGACAGCCAACACAATATAAAACAACTAATTAATCAATATAATCTGCTTTTATAATTTTAAAGTAGTAGTAAGAAACAACTTAGAAATGGAACTTCAAGTAATGTTTTCTGTAGTTTCTGTAGGCAAACTTTACGAAGTCTCTCTGAAATTGACTTTTTAGGCGTGCTGTGAAGTGTCAATGTCAGTTCTAAATATTCTGAAAAGTGCCAGTTTTCTGTTTTAAAAGGTACTATTCAATTGTGTTATGCTTCCTCTTGCAGATGAACAAGCTTGTTACTTTGTTTTGTTTTGTTTTGGAAGATTCCTGACCTTTTATTATTAGTTTTAAACAGAAAGGTAATTATTTTGTAATAGTGCCTTAAACAGAAAAGTAATTATTTTGTAATAGTGCCTTAAAATAAATGTCTACAAGTCACCTTGTGGGAGTAAGGAGGATTGAGACTTTTCCTCCTTGTTTCAGTAACTCTATCTCCCACAGCCCATGTACTACAGTAGTTCCTGTTCTTTTGCTGCTCTGAGGACTTACTTTCTGGCAGTGGTGTATATTAGAGGATGGAGTTTGTCTGAGGTTTGAGTTATAGCAGTACAGTAATTACTGACCCTCACTTTAAAATATTTGTTTGTGTTTTGATATGAATTTGTCTAGTTTTGGCATTCAGATCAAGGGCATTATCATGTCATTTTTTCTGCTAATTTAAACACCTGTTTGCTATCAGAAATCTCACATAACCAAGTAACCTTTTAATTTTCTCTTGAGTAAATTTTGGAAGCGTCTTATCCCATTCTGGACCCTTGGAATTTTTTTTTTCTTTTTCTTCCTGAAGAGCAGAATGCCAAAATGTTAATAGTTCCAGAATGAACCCATCTAGTTATCTTTTAGTGCCTTGTCTATTAGGGGAACTCTTGTTATGTGTTATAACCTGTGTGTTCCAACTGTATTTGTAAAAATCAGAGATTCAGCTAAATGCTTAAAAAAACCTCCTTGTGAGATTGATTTTTATAGAAGATCTGAATTTAAGCCCTTTAAAAAATTTTTTATAATCCACTCTTTGAAGGCTCAAAAGAACAAAATCTCCCTGTTTTATATTTTGCTGTACTTCATTTTACTGAAGTTAATGGTAAAAGTGTGAATACATTTGAAGCAGGACTGATCTGTTTTACACTCGTCAGAAGGAATTATTTTCTAATTTCTAAAGCCTGTTTAGAACCCTCAGTAATAAACCTCCATGTGTGAAGGAATACCCATGGAGTTAGATGTAGAAATTGGAAAGTGTAGTGTAGTATTTCCATCATTTATCACAACTCTGACAAGTTTGAGATGCAGAAATTTGACACAAGAAGCTGCTAAGTGTATGACTTCTGAAAGAACATCATGTGTCTCAATAATTGGAGTGTAGTGTTCTTGCGGAAATAAGCAATAAAATTGACAGTTCATTAAATAAATTACGGTCTCCAGTTATAGACTGTCTCCTGGCTACCAGGACTCTGTAGAGTGCCATTTTCCTGCCTGTTTTGATCCTTCTTTTTAAATGATGAGCAGCATTACAGATCTGCTGAGATTAGGTTTGCCTTTTCAAAGTTTGACTTGATAAAAAGATTTCAAAAGCAAGCATGTGCATCAGTCCTGCCCACAACTATGTACATAGTTAGATGATTCTCTTCCAATTCATTCATTCTATAATTTTTTTTTAACACATTTTCTTTGTTTCAAATTGAAACAATAAATTAAAAAAGCCAGAAAGCCATAATTAATGGAAGAAACATCTAGCGTTTAGTTTAAAAATTTATCTTTTAATCTTTAAAGACTTGTGTACTTGCAGAAGTTGGTGCTGAATGCATTTTGGAAGTGGAATTTTAATTCCAGCTACACTGTTCTATCAAAAAGCTGAATTGTCCATACTGTTTAATTGTTAGCATGATTCCTGGCACAATTTTGACTTACAGCAACTAGTATTCTCTAAGACAGTCCTTGAGCACATTTCAGAGCTTTATGTGGACTGCTTCCAATAGACAACATGTATAAAGTCACCATTTTTCAGTTGGGAAGATAGTTTATCCTCACAGACATGAGCCATATTGTACCACTTGACCTTAAAGCTAAAATGAACAGGCCCATTTTCATTGGTAGACTAAATGTTGCTTCTTAGTATGAAATAAAAATGTCCCCTACATTGTCTACCTCTGAGGATGCTAAAGTGCAACAATTGATCTAGCTTTTTATAGACTATTTGCTTAGAAAAACAAAATAGTAATTTTCTTATAGTACCTTAAGCCAAATGAAAAAAACATTTGTCAACGAAAGTTACTAGTTTCAGTTGCCCTATTTTTCATACGACTAAAACTTCACGAAAACCCTCATGCATAAAAACTGAGCTAAGAATAAAATCTTTAGAACTGTATTGTGTGACATTTTGAAAGGAAGTGAGGGTGACCTCCCACCAGTAATGGCAAATATCCAGGGAAGTGAGCATCAAACAGCTGCCAGTGATTAGAGCTTCCTTTGCCTCTTCTAGCAGGACCTCCTCTGCAGGTGGGCAGCTACCTTTATTGCAGACTCATCTTTGCCTGCTTAAGGAAAACTGACAAAGAAAATTTGCATTACAAAATCAGTGTTAGAGTCTGATAGAGGTCTGAGCTGTTAAGATTTGGATACTGTTACCTGACATATTTTTGTTTCCTCCTCTGGTCTGAGGTTATAGCTACATGTCCACACTAGAGGGAGGGAAAATTAAAAACAATGGAAAAATGGCCTCTATTCCCAGAGGTTTCTTCAGTAGAGTATCTCCTGAGCCTATAAACCAGAATTTAGACATATGTACATTTTTTCTTCTACAGCACTGAGAATCAGTATGGAACATACGGAATGCAAGGCTGCAGTGCCTACCTGAAGTAGTATTCAACAGGATGTTGCAGAATATATACAGCTTTTTTGGATTTCTGCAAATTGCTAACAATGACTGGGTATAGATAGGTGGTCAACTATTTTCTCTTTCCCATTTTGAATTTGTGTTTCTTAGACTATCAGGCAACACCTCCTATTTAAAAGGAATCCTTAGTACTGGCAAGACTGGGATGCAGTGAGAGGAGATAATTTTCTTCAGTAGGATATTACTGGATGCTTCTTCAAATCTGCAGTGTAAATGGATTTAGGTACCTATATAGTGAGAGAGGAATAATCATGTGTGCATTGCAGGTTGGCTTAGTAATAACAGTAATTTCCCTCTTTACTGGAGACCTGTGTTTAAGGAAGGAGGGAAGCTACTTTATTAGGAGAAAAGGATCTGTATTAGCTGTGCTGAGCTTTAAACCCTACACTCCCTCACTGAGCTTCAGATGTCCTGGATAGTGCAGTATCTGCAACACTGGAGGCTTCCGAAGAATTACTTTTCTATTTGTTTGAAAAAAATGGAAGAAATCCAATGTGCGTGTGACTAAGGAAAAATATGGACGGTATAGGTTAAGTGTTGCAAATTTAGTGAATTTGAACTGATTATCTAAGTGAAGCCAACTTTTACTATTGCTTTTCCTCTGGTGAAAACCACTCAATAATACTCAACAAGTTATAAGGCTAGAATCTATTTAGTCTGATTATGTCTCTGTCCTGAATGAAATTAAGCTAGCTTCATGGTCTCTTTGGAATGAATACTCAGCCCATGCTGCAAATATCATTGTGTTCTGTGCTTGTGAACACACATTCATGCAATGCCAGTAGAACTTCTCTTGTAGACATGGAACTGTTGTAATGTTACTAAGATCCCTATCAACTCAGTGTTTTTAGGACCATTTGCATTGCTAGCCACTAGCAGAAGGAACAATAATCCTATTTAAAATTCCACAATTTCACAAGGTATTCATCTCTATTCCATGACAGAAATAGCTAATGAGTGCAGAACTCTGTTCAGTTTCAATTAGTTATTGCATGAAGAAGGGATATATAATGTTCCTTAGATCATCAAAATACCTGTGTCAGTACTTTCCACACCTTGACACTGGATGCCTGGACCTAAGGAAGCCATTGTTTCCAAAGAAAAATCTGGCTGATGAAGAGAAGAGCCCTTAACCAAGATCCCTAGGCAAAATAACAGTGTGGCAGACTGTCATTTCTGATGATCTGAATTTGTAGAGGTTACATTTAGGCTTACACTTTGATGCTCTCTACAGAGGAAAAAACATTAATGTGTCTGTGTATATTTGCCTTTCTCTTCCTCTGAATTGCCTTTTTATTTAATGTTTCGTTTTAACACTTTATTCTTAAGCGCCATGAACATTTCCAGTTCCAACAGGATAAATCAAATGAAGCAACAGCATTGAATTGCTGTCGAACTGTTGAATTACCATCCAGCTTTCCTTTATTCCTCCCATTTATTGAACACCTACTGTTCCATTTCTTAATGTTTCTTTCTCTGTTCCTTGTTACTTATCCCACTGCTTTGCTCACTCTTTGTGCTTGTGTGACAGAGACAGAAACAAATAAAGGCCGCTTTTGAGATTAAAAGTTCAAACTTGCTTTTCTTGGGCTTCTGTTTACCTCTTTTTTTCCAGCATGAAAACTAAGTGGTCACAGCATGGCTGCCATTGTAATGATGGCCATTTTGCTTTTGCAGGACACGATTTCATACATTAAGCTCTTCAGAATTCGCAGAAACTGATGTCCTTTTTCTTCAAGTCTTGTAGAGTTTTGACCAACATTCAATTCACTTCCTGAGCTGATGATGGCAACTGAGAACTTATTTATGAAAGGCAATGAGGAATTAGTTCAAATCAAATATTTATTAAAAGAAAAATTAAAAAAAAACAAAGAGGGGATGCAGAACGAGAGTTATTTTCTCAGTCTCTCTAAATACTGCAGTTAGAGAAAGGGTAAAATATAATTTCGAGTAAAAAGGTGTTTCCAGTGAATGACAAGATCGTCGTTTATTCTGTTTTCAGGGTGGAGCAGAACATAATATTCCAGTGGTTGTTTCCAAGATTTCCAAAGAACAAAGAGGTGAGTGTCAGATTAATACACTCTGTTTTGACATGCTCCTTGATGCAAGGTGCATTATGTCTTGAGATTCTTCAGGAAGTGTTAACCAAATGCTATTAGTGTACCATTTCTCTCTCCGTATCATAATGATCTCTCTCTTCCTCAGAACTGTTATCTGAAAAAGTACAGAATTTATACTTGGAATATGTTAGAAACAGTCTTCAACATGATTTAGAAAAAATAAAAAAGTTATTGTAAAACATTATTTTTAAGGTGAGCAATTGGAAGGTATTTTGAGAATGAAAATGTTTAACAAATTTGACAAAAGTTAATGGTTTTGTGTCTTTTATTTCCAAATGTTTATTATCAGGAAGCTGTAGCAGATCAAATGTTTGGCCTTTAAAGCATGGTAACACAAGAAGAGAAGCATGCCTTTTTATACTGGTCAGTAGAGTAGTACTCAGACAGAGGTAGGCAATGGCAGAACCTTGATAACACCCCTATACTATTTCAGTATTAGATGCTGTGCTGTGTAAGCCTTTGCAGCAACTCATACATAGCAAACCTAATACTGCATAAGGTCTTAACCATACTTATTTTTAATGCAAGCAGAACTGGTGCTGAATTCTTGGTATCGATTTTAACTGGCAATGTTTTGAAATTATTAGAATGATATAATATGTGCTAGGAAGATGGATAATGGTTAAACAGCTCATAATGTGCACAATTATGAGAGATGAATGTTGTGAATCAGTGCTGGTATGGTGTATTTAATATCTCTGTTATGTTTGTGTATATTTGTGTACATTTATGTAAGGTCACAAATGTAAACTTGGAAGCATTTTCCTCCATCTGTAATGCAATAATTCTAGAATGCTGCTTCTGCACAAATAAAATGTGCCAGCATAACAAAAATCTCATATTCACCCACACAGATAAAGAGGTGCAGGGGAATCAACGTACTGAGAACTGAAAGCGAATTCTGAAAGGTAGATGTGAAAGTTGCATGTAGGGAGGCTATTGAGTAACATGGAATGAGCCCCTAAGGAAGGCAATAAGGTTAACCTTTAGAAGTTATACTTGTGAGTCCGTTCTTTCCAGTATACATATAAGTGCATAATAATGTGGCATATATTACCTACACTAGCAATTAAAATGCTATTAAGCACTGCAGGAAAAATAAGAAAGATAGACTTTAATTGAACACAAAATGTACACACTGTTTTCTTTTATTTTTGTCTTTTTTTTTTTTTTCTGCAGTAACAGATGCATTATTTCTAACCACAATACCTAGCTGAGATACAATCTCCATTACTGCTTTCAATAAAAATACTGCTGATTTTTAGAGAGCTAGTTTTCAGGGACATCTCTTGTGTAGGAGACTGCTGTCTTGTGGTATAGAAAGTGTCATGCCATGTGTCTGTACAAAGGATCTTTGATACAGAAAATGCTGTTTGACCCAGAGCCTGTACCTCAAAACTCTGAAGGCTTGGTTCTGCCCTCCTTACAGCTGACTCCAGCTCTTTCTTTGGACCTCTAAAAAAAAATGCGACATTTGATGAAATTCTTAAAACCAAAGATGCACATAAGGTGCTTAGGCTAGCACATTAGGTCATATATGAAGCTTTAATACATGCAAGCCCAGTGTCTGAAGAAGAATATTGAGAGATGCATTTATTTAAGAAAAAAACCCAAACAGAAATTAATCAGAATATCTATCTTCCAGTAATTTAAGCATCCTTAGTTACATCTAGTTAATAAGACCAGTCCTTCCAACACATACTTGAGTATTATAATTTATGTCAATATTGATTCCAGTTTTACAACTCATGTAAATATGTGAAGTTTTTGGATCAAGTCCAATTCTAGCCTTTTCCAAACAGTGTCTGCTGCGATATTTTGGAATACTATAGATAAATAATCCCACATAATCTGTTAACGTGCCTTAGTTCTCATGTTAGTGGTTATTTCTTTCTTTATAGGCACTTAAATAATATTTGCTATATTTCTTGTGTATTTATAAAGTATATTTGCATTAGAAAGCTTTGTAACACAACACAGTAGTTAAAAATTGCAACTGTAGAACTAGATTTTGTCAATTCCTTTGTGATTTATAGTGTATAGCTTTGTTTCAAAATTCAAATTCATTTTGGCTGGTGACTTTGTACAATATACTGATTGTCTATCTCTTCAGCATATAGTGTTATCCAGCATGAATAGTCCACTGAGTTTATCAAAGATTCAGGATCTAAAGTATCTTTGGTAAAAGCTTGCAGGTTAAATTTGTCATTCATAAGTAGCTCTGGAGTCTCCATGTTGATTTTTCCTCAGAGTTTGTAAGAAATGATCTCTCATAGGCAAATAGGACCTAGTCCTGCAGTCACTTTCTATTCAGAAAAGTATGCCATGCCTCACCATAATGGCCTGAAAGATGCTAGTCGCTGATGGAAGATGTTTCGTGGTCTTGTACTTGGTCTGAGTAGAATTACCAGTATTTTGGGACTTAAAAAAATAAATCCAAATAATATATTTGAAAGTTGCATGTTGGATTTTTTATTAGGCTTTTGTTTAAATTTTTAAAAGATTATATTAAAACATTAAATTAAATAGGAATACATGTACATGAAATGTAGGATGTTTTGTACAAAATGAGTGAAAAATATGCTTTCTGTTTTCAGCGGAACTTTCGGGTTTGCTCTTTATAGGAGATGCCATTCTACAGGTGAGCAAAATTGCAAGTTCTTATGCCTATTTTTTTCTAGAAAAGTGAAATGAAATATGTACTTATGAAATGTAGAGTAAGTCTTCTCTTTATCTTTTTAATAACAGATTAATGGAATTAATGTGAGAAAATGCAGGCATGAAGAAGTGGTGAGCTTTTCTGTTTTTTAGTCTACTTTTTGTATTTTGTAGTTATTGAGATCTTAGTATATGCTGATAGCAATGCTCTGATATCAATTGTATTATTGTTACTCCTAAACAAATATGACTGTACCTTCTACCATGGCAAGCAACTAAAATTTTAGTGCAGACTCTTCTTCATAAGTTTGTTGTAGATGATGTTCTCAGGCTTTTCTATATTAAAGGTAATTATTTTATTATCCAGATTTAAACTGTACATATTCCAGCATTTTTTCTGTTTTATAGTTATCAAATTTCAGCATTGCTACACCTTTCTGTTTTTTTTTGTGAGGTCATTTTAATTTCAAAAGTTGTAATTTGCACTATGTTGGAGACTTGTTGTTGGGTTGGTTTTAATACTACCTAAAAATTGAAACAAAACATTTTGTCTGCTTTTCATTCTCTGGCTGTTACTTATGAGGGTGCTCTCCTCCTTCAGTTAAGCTGTTATCCGTACTGATTTAAAATAATAGTGTATTAAGAAGATACATTCTAGAGAAGCAATTTTTATTTGAGAGCTGTATGGTAGACTGGTTCCCTTGGTAAGTCGGCTTTGCTGAAAGTATTATGTACTTTTCATATATTTGACTTTTTGACTCTTAAGTGCTTTCAGAAGTAGGAAACCCTATATTTCAGAAAAGAATGACAGAAATGAGATTACCAAAGAAATCACCTTTAAATCCCATGTAGCTCCAAATAATTAGTAGCTGTATTTTTAAAATAGTGTAGTAATACTATATTTGAAAGTTTAATTTTCTAAAATGTACTTTGCCAATTCAAAGATGCTCTATATCTCACAGAGCATTCTGTTATATGACAGATCATTGAATGTATGCTATTCAGGTATAGAAAGCAAGAATTAATAAAGATGAAGTTCTCATGAAAAAGTTAGTGCAGGCTGAAATATTAGATCGCCACACTATTCCTCAGAGTGCTTTTGTGTACTGGTTTCATATTGGAAATTTGTGCTGCAAATCATGCTCCATTCTTCAGACCCTTTATCATACACACACAGGCTAATAGTTGTATTTATAGTACTTTGACTGTACAACAGTGACCGGATTTTAAACTTTTATAAGCTTTATGCAATTATTTGGTTTAATGGGCATTAATATGTGTCGTGGTTTGAGCCTGGTTGGCAGCCAAACAGCACATGGCCACTCACTCCCCTTTCTCTTCCGTCAATGAGAAGGGAAAAATGAGCCAGACTTGGGGTTAGAGATAGGACCGGGAGGGGCAGATCACCCATTATGGTCATGGGCAAAAGGCAGACTTGCTAGGGGAAGAAAAAAAATAACATAGATTTATTACGGATACTAACAACAACACTTAACAGAGTAGGACAGTGAGAAGCATTGCCACACCTTGAGAACACCTTCCCCCCACCCCTCCCTTCTTCCCGGGCTCAGCTCTGCTCCCGATATCTCTACCTCCTCCCCCAGCAGCGCAGGGGCAGGGAATGGGGGGTGCAGTCAGTGCTGCCGTTCCTTCCATCTTCGGTGGGGGGAGCTTCTGGGACTTCTTCCCCTGCTCCATCGTGGTCCCCCTCTCACAGCAGACAGTCCTCCACAAACCCTCTCTGATGTGAGTCCCTCCCACAGGCTGCAGCGTTCCCTACACTGCTCTGTCATGGGTCACCAACTTTCTCCAACTGGAGTCCCTCCCACAGCTGCAGCCCTTCCCGAGCTGCTCCGGCGTGGGACCCCCCCGCATGCTGCAATCCTCCCAGTGCTGAATTACAGCAGCGGGGCTACCTTTTCCCAAAAGACCCCAGCCTTCTTCGGGCACAGCACCTTGCTCAACCAGGTGAAAAACACAGGCCATAAATCAGTGTCTGCTCCACCGCAGATCGCCATGGGTGTCAGGGGGGGCCGCCCTGCCCTCTCACCACAGGATACAGGGGGGTTTCTGCTCCGGCACACCTCCCCCCTCCTTCCTTCCTCTGTTCCTCCACTGACCTTGGTGTTCGTGCAGCTGCAGCGACTCCTCCTCACAAGTCCCACTGCTCTTCCCAGGTCACTCCTTAAATAAGTTATCACAGAGGTGCAGCTGATGGGCTCAGTTTTGGTGCAGAGGTGGAGCTGACTTGGAGCTGAGGGAGCTTCGAGAAGCTTCTCACAGGGGGCCACCCTTGGGATTTAAATAGGATGTTGGAATTTCAAGACATGGGAAAAACATATTACTAAAAATGTAGACTTGCACACTCAAAGGCATTTGAATATATTGAATACTTGTAGCAACACCAGGATATTTTCTTTCTGAGACAATCTCTTAACCATTACAATTATACATAAATCTGTTGGCTATTTATGGTCAGGTTTAAACCCCTTCACAGAAAAAAGAGACATTTTGGAAAAGCCAAAAGGTAGAGATTGACATAGAATAGCAAACATCATCATGTTAAATTTTGGTTTATACCTTGTTTGTCCAACATAATCTGCTTCTCAAATGCGTTACAAATAATTTTCTCTGAATAATAAAAGTGTATTTTAACAGTTTTGAATGTGCATTTTTGTATGTGAAAGTGTTTTAAGAGTTTAAGAAGCAGATACATTTTAAATTAAATCTGTTTTCTAACTAAGAATAATTATTAATTAATAGTAAATACTGAGAAATATTTAAATAAGTTAAAAAATCCATACGGCACTTTGAAATATGCAGAGGGCTTATAAATATAAGTATAAAAGAAATATAAAAACCAAAGTAAATGAACACTCATGATCTATTTTTTTCAGAAACATTCACTATCATATGTCATATATTTGTGGAAAAAATTTTTTGTAAAGCCTGCTGTAGTAGTGCTAGATATGGTTATGCATTGTGCAGTATTCTGCAGGTTTAGGCATAGCCCTGAGTAAAGGGCAAGTACCTCAACTGGTCTGCCAGCAGGAGTTATAGGTGGGATTTTGTCTGCAGCATACCCTTTGCAGTTTGAGTTATTCTGGCACTTTGTATTGCAGGGTCTTTATCAAATGCAAGATCTGTAACTCTAATCTCAAGGTAACTCAGAAAATAGGAAGTGTGTGGAGCATAGCTGCTCACAGCAGGGAGTTGAAAGGTAGTGGAAACTTAATTTTCAATCCTTATTGCATCTAGGTACTTTTCAAATGGCTATGCAAAGTACATGAGCTTGGAGCTTTGTTTCTGATTTTATCTGTAACTAAGTAAGGCTTAGCAGGTTTCATATTATGTGAGGATATATTAGTGTTGAGTTCTTTTAATGTCTTAGAAAATACTCATGGTAAACCAGCATAGAATTTGTTTCAGTGTAAAGCTGAAGATGCCCGTAGAAAAGTCAGAGTTGTGTTTGCAGTGCGCATCTGATGAGTGCTCATTGTTTTTCTAGATCCAAAGCTTCTTGCTGCTTGCATAAACATTTTAAGCATATGTCATATCTTCATAGCTCTCCAACGGAAAGAGCTGTGTCATAATCACTGCAGCCTGTTGTGTTACACTTTTGATTAGTTGGCCCTGGTATTTCACCGTGCTTTACTGATAATTATACTATGCATATAAAACTATTTGAATTTCAAAATTAAGTAGTTTAATAAAATTGATGCCATCTTTAATAATGGGCAGAATCTTTCCCTTATATCTAGTGAACTTAGTTGCCTTAACACTCATGGGTACTACTTTGTTGTCTTTATTGTCTTCCATTAGTTATTAGACCTGGTGATATGATATTCAGTGATGCACAGATCCTGTTACTAAAGAAATATACTATAATCTGAAGCCTGAATCTGACAAAGAGATAGGTAGATACATAGGTAGGCAGGTTGGAGGGGGGGACGGAATGGAACGGAGCAGAGGGGGAAGGAGGAGAGGAGAAGTGAAAGAGGGAAGGAAAGGGGTCGGGGAGGAGAGAGAGGACTCATAATAATACTGAATAGGTAGGTCTAGTCAGTTCTTCATGTACCTTACCAGAGGCCTCTACACAGTTCCTTTCTGAATTTTTTTGTAGCTCTAGGTGAATCTCTTAATTTTGAGCTTACTTTTCTGCTTGTAGAAGCTGAGAATATTATTCATATCATGAAAGCACATTATGAGTTTCTATCGAAGGCTGAATGCTAGCTTGTTCTTTGTTTTGTGTTGTAAAAACTCCCATCTGAGTACAACATAACAGTGCCTCAGTCTTAGTGCTCTCCTATGGTAAAATAAATATATGCTCTGTGTGGTGAAGTATCAGCATGGTAGGATGTTAAGAAAAAAAATAATCTAGCAATTCTCTTAAAAAATCAGACTCAAAATATCTCAGTATCATACCAGAAATTTGACTCCAAAATTGCAGTATAAACTTGAATTTGTAGGTAAGGAGAGTCCATTATATCTCTTAATTTGCATGAGTTTGTGCTCCTTCTACTCTGGATTTATTAATTATTCCTTTTCCAGTAGACTCTCCTTTACATTTTACAACAAGACTTTTAAAAGGCTGAAATTGGGATTATATACAGACAGACCTACGAGTTTAGTCTTCTGTCTAATTAATATGGTCCAACAATGCATAAATTGTCAATCCACATGCCTAGTATTTTAAGGACTCACAATGGATATGATTATTCATAAGGCTGGAAACTAATACATTTATAGTCTGGAAACTAATGTATCTGTAGCCCTTACCTCCATGTATTGTTCAAATATAAAACAAAGATAGGCAATCACCATCATAATGCTGTTCTTGTAGCACATGTGGACATCTTTTGTGGTTCTGGTTCTAGTCTCTACATCACTAACAATGGACAGAATTTTGGGAGAGACTGAGAAGACCTGCTGGGAGCTACTTCCCTTGAGCTACTACTGACTGGCTCAGAGTAGGAGAGTACGAGCAACTCGCATACTACCAAAACTCTTGTGTTGAAGCTACTGCTATTACTGTTTCCAGAGTTATAGTGCACCAAACCATCTGGGGCCCATAGAGAAAACAGAATTTCAGTTAAATCAATGTTGATATGTTAAAGATTATGTCTCTGTTC